CTAAACTGTTTACTAATAATTACTATGTTGTGTTGAAATCAGCTAAACTGTTTACTAATAATTACTATGTTGTGTTGAAATCAGCTAAACTGTTTACTAATAATTACTATGTTGTGTTGAAATCAGCTAAACTGTTTACTAATAATTACTATGTTGTGTTGAAATCAGATTAACTAATGTAGCTAAACTGTTTACTAATAATTAGTATGTTGTGTTGAAATCAGCTAAACTGTTTACTAATAATCACTATGTTGTGTTGAAATCAGATTAACTAATGTAGCTAAACTGTTTACTAATAATTACTATGTTGTGTTAAAATCAGCTGAACTGTTTACTAATAATTACTATGTTGTGTTGAAATCAGCTAAACTGTTTACTAATAATTACTATGTTGTGTTGAAATCAGCTAAACTGTTTACTAATAATTACTATGTTGTGTTGAAATCAGCTAAACTGTTTACTAATAATCACTATGTTGTGTTAAAATCAGCTAAACTGTTTACTAATAATTACTATGTTGTGTTGAAATCAGCTAAACTGTTTACTAATAATTACTATGTTGTGTTGAAATCAGCTAAACTGTTTACTAATAATTACTATGTTGTGTTGAAATCAGCTCAACTGTTTACTAATAATTTCTCTTGCGCTTTACGCGAATTTTCGTTTGTTTGTTTCATAATTTTTGTTCGGCCAAATTTTTAGTAAAATATCCTACTTTTTCGCGGCCGCGGGTCTTAAAATATTTACTGCACACTATTCAAAGTTCTTGTTTCTTTTTCTTTAAACGTGTTTTATTTAAAGTTTACACAAGTGTCGTCTTAATTTGATCTTACGTTTGTAGTTTTGTTGTTTGCTAGAGACGTTTGAGATGGCTCAACTCACTAAGTGCCTCAAGATGTTTCTTTTATCTTGTGGCTTGGTAAAATAAAATAAAAGACATACGGAATAACTAGGGCAACGAAATCACGTACAACATATCCTGATGAGTACGGTAGTTTCGAACGGTTTCACCATTTCTAGTTGATAACGGAATTCAGTAAAACATAATTCAGCACTACAAAACGTCTTATACGTTTTTTAAATCTAGTGAATGAAATAAGCTCTGTTATGTGATTTCATTCTTTCTCGTCGTTCCAGGAATCATCACTGTTGCTAGTCCACGACAATTTGTGAAACAGTCGTTTTACAGATTGAATGTATCAGTTACCGACGGTGTTTACTGCAGCTACGCTACTGTTTCCGTTACCGTACGCAGTGCCAACCAGTACGCACCGGTGTTCGACAGAAACAAGTACGATGTGATACTCAGAGAAGACGTGGCGCCGGGAACTTTAGTAACCACGGTTTCGGCGACAGACTTGGATACGGGTATCTACAGTCAAGTCGAATTCGCTATTCCCAGTGAGAGAAGTCTGAACTATTTTTTAATGGATCAGAAAACAGGTTTGTTCGCTTTAAAAATTTGAAGGAAAGGAAACTTAGAGTAACGGAAACTTCCATTACGAGTAAAGAATTACAACTGTCATTCTGAATCCCATCTGACCTACTTCGTAAGGCTAAAGCCCATTAGTAACTCTGTGTTTATTCTTAATTCTTACAGAGAACGTTTTGTTATTTAATTAAGGCTTTCTGTTATTTGTGTCTATATAATTACTACATCAATTGAAATTCAGTTAGTTGTTTGTTTCAGACCAAAATACAACATTTTCTTGCTTTCTAAGTATCTTATTAACACTAGTTGGTTTCAAAATGGGAAGATTTAGCAGTAACTTAGTCTTTAGTAGATTTGCAAGAACTTTCCAGTGTCTCTAGATTTAAAAACAATACGTTACTAAGGGCCTCCATCTTCGTTGCTAAGGGCCTCCACTTCCGTTGCTAAGGGCCTGTCACTTTCTCAACTATGGCTTTGTCATAATGAAATATGCGGACCTAATTAAAGTAATTCTTTTTAGAACTAAATGAAATTCTCAGCCTTTCAGGTGACTGAAACTTAATTGTTAATACATAAAAATAGCTTCGTACAGGCACCTTGATTATATATATATGTTTACAGGTTTTTCAACAAATCCAGGATTTTACTAGCAATGGCGCGAATAGCAAGGACTAAAATGATATTTTATGCTGAAAATGTCTAAAAATGTCTTAAGTTTTTTTCCCCTATGTTTATTTTGATACTAGACAGCGAAAGACTATGTTTCGAGATAGGTATTTATTTATCTAATAAGCGTTAAGTATTCTGTTTAGGACGAGGAGTGTGATAAGCGTTAAGTATTCTGTTTATGACGAGGAGTGTGAAAAGCGTTAAGTATTCTGTTTATGACGAGGAGTGTGAAAAGCGTTAAGTATTCTGTTTATGACGAGGAGTGTGAAAGGCGTTAAGTATTCTTCTACTTTTCGTACACATCAGATATTATGATATCAGGTTGCCTTGATATTTAGTGGCAACGTGTATGGTATATTACATCACAATAACACTGGTAAGTAACACCATTATTTTTATGGCTACACACACACACATATTATTATTAACCGACATTTTTTACGCCTTAACGCTCATTGTCCTTTTAACAAGTATGCTTATCATTTTGCATAATTGCAATACATTGCATTTCATTAAACAGATTCAGTATACTGAACAAATATTACTGAATTATAATAATAATACCCTTCGTTACTCTGTCTGGCCGTATCGTCAGAAAATCGTAAACAAATTTAATCGATATATCAACTATAATTATTCTTCAGTCATCCCTGGCTTTTATTTTTCCACCACATGTGGACATCGTAAAGCTGGTGATGGTAAGAATTCTTCAGGTCTAACTAGCAGTGTAGTATAGAGCCTATAACTTATGATCTGCTCTATATTAAGATATAATGAGAGAAGAACTTTGACGGTTGTTGCCCAGTTTTATTACTTTATGTTATGATATAGCTCGTGGCGAGTAATTCTGAAACACATAAAGAGGTTTGTATATTTCCTCACTATCAAGAAAACGAGGGTAAGTTATGTCTTTCATAATTTTCTTCTGTTTGCTCAGAAGGTTTATAAATATGGTTTAAATATTCACGGTTATCTTATCCAGTTTTACTTTAAAACGAGTGAAGTATGTAATGTAAAATTAAAAACCTAAATTTCCGAGTGAAGTATGTAATGTAAAATTAAAAACCTAAATTTCCGAGTGAAGTATGTAATGTAAAATTCAAATCCTAAATTTCCGAGTGAAGTATGTAATGTAAAATTAAAAACTTAAATTTCCGAGTGAAGTATGTAATGTAAAACCTAAATTTCTTTAAAGACTAGCAATTACTGATGTTAATAAGTAGACGGCTTATTTAGGTTCGAACGTCTAGTACACTTTTCTACTGTATTGAAAATAATAAGTATACAGCATGCTTAGATTCCAACATTTTTTGCACGTTTTTTTAGTTGTTTCTTTACTGTATTAAATGATAATAAGTGTACGGCATGCTTAAGCTTTTAATGTTCTTGTGCAAGTTTTTTCCACCTAGCAGGATTTGTAAATGTCTCGTGGTGAAACATTAGGGATTGATCTATTACTGTTATTATGTTTTGTCTTCATTTTAACATCCTGTAAAAGCTTTCTTTTGTGGGAGTAATTTTCACGATCTATGAGATAATGCACTATAGAATGATAAAGTAGAAATTTGTGTTGTTGTAGAGCGAAGATTTTCTCTACCAACTAGTTTTGTGTGGATAAATAAAATCGATCTCGATCAGGACTGGATAACGCTAATTTGAAGATTTTTTGACAAATATGAACTTTTTTTAAATGTATTTTATTTACATACAATATATATATATTGCACACAACCGTGTATTTTCATTCTAAAAGGAGTGAAAGGGGACGTTTAGCGTTATTAGTAGTGTTCTTGTTACGTACGTATTAACTGTTTTAATGAGATGGCGTTATATGACGAATATGTTAAAACATCCTAATGGCGGTTTTATGCGAGAAACCTTAAAAGACACTACAATGTTGATTTGATACGAGGAACCATAATAGTGGTTTCAATCATACCATGAGATAATTACCAGGGCGTAAGCCTTTTCAAGTTCCTTGCTGAGGGTTTTTATTGTCTGTGACTGAGCGTACAAGATTAAGTGTATTAATATTAATTATTTGTATGAAACTATAAAGTTAATTATTTGTATGAAACTATAAAGTTAATTATTTGTGTGAAACTATAAAGTTAATTATTTGTATGAAACTATAAAGTTAATT